ACTTCTTCTTCTACTTCTACTACTACTACTACTGCTACTACAACTGCTACTTACTTCACTACTACTACGACGATTACTGCTACTACTACTACGACTACTACTACTGCTACTACTACGACCACTACTACTACTACTACTACTACTACTACTACTACTACTACTACTACTACGACTACGACTACGACTACGACTACTTCTACTACGACTACTACGACTACTACGACTACGATTATGATTACTACTGCTACCACCACCACTACTACTACTACTACTACTACTACCACTCGTCGTGATCGTCGGTGCGTCTACTACCACTGGACTTCTACACTACTTCTACTACTACTACTGCACTACTACTACTACTACTACTACTACTACTACTACTACTAGTACTACTACTACTACTACTACTACGACTACTACTACTACGGCTACTACGACTACTATGACTACTGGGACTACGATTGCAACGCAACTACTACTGCTACCACCACCACCACCACCACCACCACCACCACCACTACTACTACTACTACTACTACTACTACTACTACTACTACTACTACTACTACCTACTACTACTACTACTACTACTACTACTACTACTACTGCTACTACTACTACTACTACTACTACTACTACTACTACTACTACTACTTCTACTACTTCTACTACTACTACTACTACTACTACTACTACTACTACTACTACTACTACTACTACTACTACTACTACTACTACTACTACTAGGAGGATCCATTTGCATATCTTAGAATCGATACAATTCGGTGCGTTTTTGCTTACGCTCCGGTGCCCTCTTGCTCATCTTAACGTAGTGCTCGTGCGCAAACCCAAAAACTGAGACCAATTCCAACTCGAGCACGCATGTTGGCTTCCAGATCCTCTGCGTTGACATAAGGGGTGCCACTTGGTCTTCGCAGTCGTCTTGGGCTTCTCTACAATTAAATCTTATTGTGGGGCTATCCCAAGATGGTTGGGATTGGGCCCAGTTTGTTTTTCGCACTGGTTGGGATTGGTCCCAGTTGGTTGGGATTGGGCCCAGTGGGTTGGGATTGGGCCCACATGCGGCCAAGACCCCCCCTAAATAGCAAGCCGTCTAGCTCACTCCCACCCGCCCTCCCAACACAGAAGTAACACCCGAGCCTGAGCATGTTCAGCGGTCGTCTTTGGATGGACAGGTGCGCCTGCGCACGTGACAGCACACGTCGGGAAACATGTCGGCCCCCACCATCCATGGCGAAAACAAATGCCCACCATTGTGTCTGGTGGGCCTGCGCACAGCAGGCCATACGCCACCACTTGAGAGTGATCACGGGGCGGCCGCGCATGATCCAGATTAAGCCGCGAGGTGCATTGTGTAATGTTGGTTCTCAGAAGTGGTAGCCCTGCGCGCAGCACACAATATGCTGACACCCCCGCCGTCCCTGTCAAAATACGATACAAAGTGCTCGCGCGGGCCTCAGGAGCATGACTCCAGACTTTGCCCCAGAGTGTAGTTCGTATTGCTTGTGTAACAGAAATTGTGTTTGTGGGGGGGGGGGGGGCGCATCGGGTTGGCCGCGCATGCTCCAAATGTGGAGGCAGTATTGTTTTTTGACATGGATGGGGGGGTGGCCCTCATGGTGTCCTCATTGTTCCTGGTTGGCTGCAGGTCGCCTGGGGGAGGGGGTGTATACTAATAGGGAACAGTGATCAAGACACCCTCCTCGCCCGCAAGCCGTCTCGCTCACTCGCACCCGCCCTCCCAACACCCACCCGCGCCGCAGCGTGTTCAGCGGCAGTCCTTGGATAGTCAGCCAATGGAAACCAAAGCAGATCCCATGTGCGCAACGCGGGGGCGAGGTGCGCCAGGCGTGCCGGGCGCGCCACGCACGCCCGGAGCGCCAGGCACCCCTGTGGCCCAAGCGTGCTGGGCACGCCTGGTGCGCCAGATGCGGCACAAGAATCACGTGCGTCATGCGTGCCGCATGCTCCAGCCGCGCCAGGTGCGCCACATTCGGGGCAGAGTGTGCCAGGTGCGCCTGCACACGTGGCAGTACAGATCGGGAAACGTGCGGGCCCCCACCACCCTTGTCGGAAACCAGTGCGCAATCGCGGCAGGGTGGCCATCATAGCGTCTGGTGGGCCCTGCATATGGCAAGCAATATGCCAGCACCCCCGCAGCCCAAGTCAAAAACCAACGCGCAGTGATCGCGGGGTGCCCGCGCATGATCCAGATCTTGCCCCGAAGCGCACTTTGCATCGAGTGGCACCCGGCCCATCCCGCCACCGTGCTTGGGATTCGGGTATGAAGCCTATTGGATGTTCGTCGGGGTCTAAAAACAAAGTTTGCGCACCAAGTTAGGTGCTTTGTCCCGTGGGCGCGCCATGCAACCCCAGTGCCGTACCCTGCCCCGCTTCCCGCGCGCGCCATCCGCCCCCGGGTGGTGCGCCTCCCCTCCCTGCTGCGGCGCGCTTGCCCCAGCTTCTCGTCCGACCTGCTCGTGCACCTGGTGGCTGCCCTCCATGCCAGGCGGTGCGCCTCTACTCCCGCCGTGGGCGCACCACCCATCCCTGGTGGCGCGCTCGCCTCCCTCACACCCTGCCGCTCCCCACCCGCCGTCCTTGCCACGTCCTGCCTCCTTTCCCGCCCCGCCCTCTGGGCCCCCCGCCCTGACTCCCGCTGCGGACTCGCTCCTGCCTCCGCCACCGCTGCGTCGCCTGCCCCAGCGGGCCACCCCAGGCCCCTGGTCAGCCGCTGCAGCCTGCCGGCACAGCCCGCCCAGCAGCCGCCCCACCTGGCCCCCCGCAGCTTGCTGGGGCCCGCCGCTGGCTCTGCTGCTCGGGCCCCCACCGTGCCCAGGTGCCGGTCTTCGGCCCTGCACTGCGGCCGCTGTGCCCCTCCCCTGGGTGCGGACGTGATGCCGGCCCGCGCCCGCCGCCAGGGGTGCTGCACCGGCTCGGCCGCCCCCTGGCGCCCCGCTGCGGCCTCGCCGCGGGAGTGCGCTTGCCCCCCCCACCTGTTTCCCCCTTCTCCGGCGGCCGCCCCTCTTCTTTTCCTCTTCTCTTGCCTTCGGGACAAATCGCAGTGCCGCCTCCCGGCCTGCTGAGCGCGCGTGCGGACTGCCTCCGCCGCGCTGCGACGTAAGAAGTTCGCTGGGATCTCCTCGTGGGGGGCCTCCCGGGGGCCTGAGGCAGTTTGGAAGCCTCTTCGGGGCCTCTTCGGGCCCTCTTTTGGGCATCTTGGGGGCCTCTTGGGGTCTCCTGGGCGCCTCAGTCAAGGGAGAAGAAACCGCCCAGACCGGACAATTGGCGTTTACAAAACGGCCCTGGGCGTTTACTAAGCAGCCCTGCCCTGTTTGATTCCTTATTTGGGTGCGTTTACTAAACGGCTTCGCGTGTCGGGGTGGTTATTATCGGGGTGGATTTTCTGCCCTGTATCTTGGGGCGCCCCTTGGGGCGGAAGGCTCGGATTTTCGGTTCGTGTCCCCTCTCTAGTGCCACTTTTGCGGTTGTCTTGGGGCTCCCTTTGACCGTCTTGGGCGCCTCTTTGGCTGTCTCGGGGCGCTTTCAGGTAGTCTTGGGACCCTTGTGGAGGCCTCTTGGGTTGTTTTCGGGGGGTGGTCTTGGGGTGCTCTTGGGCCGTGTTGGAACGTCGGAAAGCCGAAGAGGCAAGAACGCCAAAATCTTCCAAATACCTACGAAAAATCACTGAAGTTAGTGGGCCCTTTTGGGTGTCCGCTTGAAGGCCTCTTGGGGCGTCTTGGAGGCTTCCTGGGCCGATGCGAGGCCATCTTGGGCATCGTGGGCCGATCGCTGGGCGTCTCGGGGCCACGTTGGACCGCCTTCGAGGTCCGTTGGGGCCCTCTTGGCCCGTCCTGGGGCCCTCTCGGGCCCGAAAAAGTCCTGCGCGAACACTTCCCGGATCCCAGGGGGCACGCGGGAAGCCCTGGGGGGCACGCCGGGAGCCCCGTCAAATGTTTGTATTTTGGGCCCCGGCCACGCAGAGACTCCTCAAGGTTGGGGACTGAGGCCCCAGGGATTGGGCAAATGACTCGGGAACACGCCCACCCCGTGCACAGAGGCACGGTGGCGGATTGTTGTTTGGCAGGGATGCTTGCCCTGCGCTCAGCAAGCAGTATGCGGGCACCCCCGCCGACCCCGTCAAAGAACAGTACAAAGTGTTCGCCCCTCTCCAATCATAACTCGAGATGTTGCCCAAAAGTGGATTTCACATTGTTGTGTTGACAGGGATGGTGCGGGGGGACACGCATTGGTCCTGGTTGGCTGCCGGTCGCCTGGGCGAGGGGGTGTTCATTAAAAAGGAATGATACCGGAGCAAAACCCAATCATAATCTTTTTAGGGCTATAGGGCTATGGGGCTATAGGGCTATAGACTCTGGGGCTATAAGGCAGTAGGGCTATCGGGCTATAGGGCTATCGAGCTACGGGGTTATTAACTGTATAGGGCTATAAGGATATAGTGTTATAAGGCTATAAGGCTATAGGGCTACAGAGCTATAGGCACCCCGGCACCCGGGCACCTGGCACCTTGGCGGGCCGCCGAAATCGGCGCCACCCCCTCGTCTAACCATATGAATCCGCTAGGATCCCTACAGAGATAAGCTCTGATTGGGGAACAATGAGGATCCCTCCCCGAAGGGGAAAAAGGGGGTTTAAACAAATCGCTAAACCATGCACGGCCTGGAAGGACGGTGGGATTCCCCCCGATAATGGGCAAACGATCAGGTTCCCAGGAGGGTCGCCGACACCCAACAGGACTCGGCAACTAATTGTTCCGCCGCCGCCGTCGTCGTCGCTGTCCCTCCGCAGAGGCGCCCGGGGAGCCCACGGATTGGGACACGTCCCTGGCGGAGCTCCACGCCTCTGCGAAGGCGCGCATCCCGCGGGAGGTCGAGGAGCGGTGCAGGGCCGCCAAGCACCGGGCGAACTGCGGGCTCGTGCCCCAGCTGCGCCATGCCTGGGCGTCGGCGGATGGC